GACAGAACACATCAACCTGCCGTGGATACGTCACACGGGTTTATGATGGACCTTCATCCCTATCTACGTAATCCTTCTCATCATTCAGTGTTGTGCGGTGCTGGTAGAACTTTGCATCCTGGCGGCGCAGGTGGGTATCATCATTTGATGGACTGGTTGATTCATGAAGCTGGTTTCGTAGGTCGTTCTGCTGTCAGTCATCATGCTGTGCTTGTATCGTAATAGCATACATAGTAACTGTTATTGTGCAATCACGTAGTGGATTATGAACGTGCAGCCATGAACTCTACGGATCAGCTGGGCTGAGGGACGTGGCAGCTACTTGAGACGGCGCCGTCTTGGCTTTTACCAAGCTCCCGGTTTGCTGTACCGTGAAGGGAAGTGCTTGGTGGCACGTGCTGACTGGGACAAAGTAAGGCTGAAAGGACGAAGGCATTATGACGCCACGGGGTGCTGCTTGAATCCGAACCCCACCCTTGCCGTTTCCGCCACCGTTTTGCCCGCATCTATGCATGTCCAGCAGGAGCCTGCAAAGGCCGGCTCATAGAGCCTCACGCGAAACCCCCCCTGACCGCGGACGCCCTCCCACCACCAAGGGAACGCCCATTTGGCCGCAAGCGTGGCAAGCGATTGGGGTCGGTGGGGCAGATGGTTTCGCTTTCAGTGACTATCGTCGCTTTGCTGGCGCCGGCTTTTCCACTCGGGTAGGCGGTGTATTCGGAAGGACGAGAGTTGGCTTCCGAGACACTAAATTTCGCTTTGCTCGAGTGCTATCTGCCCTAATGGGTTTGATGGACTTCTTGGTATATGAGGGAGCAGTTGTCTGGAAGGAGGCGTTAGTGGTGTACGCAAAGCGTTCATTTGGTGCACCCACGTTCTGGAGCTCGGTCAAAAGTTCACCCTCAGACACGCGATACTGCAAGTAAAATGGCGGCGCTGCCGCATTCACCTGGAACCGCGGTGAGTGGGCAGCCGAAAAAGGGGGTAGCAGGTGGTTGCTCACCAAATCAACAAGTCTTGCCTTGCTTTCTTCGATCCTTCGCAGCCCGCCTGCCCATGTTATGAAGAGTTCCCACAATGACTGTGGCACCCTTGAGAAGCGAAAGCTCACGACCTCTGGAGTGGGACTACCAGAAGGCTGCTAATCGATAGAAGGTGGCTCTAATGGCTAGTTAGAGGGAGTTATGCACATTGCGATATGACGTCGGCATATCTAACCCAAGCACCATCCGCGACGCCTACACGCTCGCAGAATACATCTCCGTGAGGCAGTATTCACCTGTCAGATAGCTTTTTATGGAACTCCAAAATGAGGTCGAACAATTTCGGCGAACCCGATCTGACTGGATCTGATGGCGTTGAGCTCGGAGGAGGTATATTCGAACCTCCCAGTTCCGATATATCTTCGAGCTGGCGGATCAGAACATCCAGCCGCTTGACCTCCTCATCGGTCGCAGTATGGTTGATGACCGCATTGAGCAAGTTCGCAAGTGTAGGGTTGGTCTGTGCTGTCAACTGGACTTTGGCGGATAATGCCGGGGTCACGTACGATGACGTCGTCGACACTTAAGGGTCATGAGGCACTGTAGAATGTAAGGATGAAGTAGATGGTGTAGCTGTAGGTACCTCCGTCCAGAGATGTATTCCGGAAGGCTAACGACATACATTGTGCCTCTTGACCGCTATCAGGCTCCATGGCTGGCAGGTAATGGGTTTCATAAAGGGCCGTATTGGAAGAAAATGTGAGGTCCTGTTGAACAATGAAAAGTTGGTCAGACCGGGGATTGAACCCGGGTCATCCCATATGCACTGGGAGGTGTTACCACTACACCATCCAACCGATACTAGAGTGTGAATTCTACAGATTCCAACACTCCCCCTGAAGTCACACTCTGGTGATCGATCAAGGAACCAACTTTTCCAAATGAAGTTACCCTCAGGCACATTTCCCGAGGCGGGGGTTCTCTGACCCTACTCCCTTCCAAGCGTCACACAGGGCTCATAACCTGATAAACTCGGGGCTGTGAAGACAAAGATTAGATCCGACTAGAGTCGAAGCAAGATCTTCAGTCAGTAAGGAAAGACTATATTGCAGTAACCAACTGTACCTAGAGTCGAAGCAAGACTACAAAGGATCAAGTAAGTAACTACAAGTTAGAGGTAGAGGTAAGGAAGTACTCACTCTTCAGTCAGTAAGGAAAGACTGAAGAGGGAGGACACAATCTGAAGTCCTTATATACTACAGAGAAGAGTCCATGACTAATCGAAGAGTGGTTAGTCACATGTACCATAGTGCAATGAATAATACAACAACGAAAGAATTGCGACGTATCGCACCATAGGATGAGTAAGAGATGAGTAAGGCATAGACCTGTCTAGACCGTTCTGGAGTAGTACGGATTGTCCTAGACAGTACCAGAAGAGTCCGGAAGCATAGCTATAGTACACGAGCAGAGAGTCCCAAATATGGTAACATACTACATAAGCGATCACAGCTAAGCGCTAGGAGACGCATAGCCTCGTGTAGTCCGGACTGGATAAGTCCAAGTTCA